GATTCTAAATGAGCAAAAAGTACCTACTCTGTCTCGACTATAGTAAATTTCTCGATATATTTTTTCACAATCCTGAACTAATTTTAATCCTCAGTCGAAAATGCCATTGCTTCGCAGGTCTAAACGTACATTGACCCATAGTTGTTTTAATGTATTACAAATACATTAATTAATGTAATTAGATACTGTTGTACGGTAGTCAAGTAGGTTTGGGCATCGACCACTGAGCGATTAGGAATTAATTCATTACAGTATGTTATCTACCAAGTGATTGGTGAGTAACTGTACGTATCAGTGAACTTTGTACCAACGAGAAAAAACATGACATACGTACCTACTTATACCTAAGTTTTCTTTTTTAAACTGTCAAACACCAAGCGGTCACCGGTGACCGCAACCTATTGTTCTATAATTGTGTCTACAAAACCGGTACTCAACGAGTTAATTTGCGTTTTATTAGCATGTTAGAACCTTACTCTTTAGATTGATTGATTGATTATAAGAAAACAACGACCATTATAAAAGAAATACGCAAATGAAACTTTACAGACAACCAAATAACTAATTTGACTGCACGGTTGGTGCGGTGGCTGGGTAACTGGCTGCCACATAACGTGTTGCGGGTTCTATTCCCGCACAGAACAACTCTTTGTGTGATTCACAGATTGTTGTTCTGGTCCGGTGAAACCCTAGTGTGGGGCAAAGTCTTTACAAATAAAATTAATGAAATAATTACAACACTACATTAGTCATTGGGATAAGCCATCCTTAATAGGAATTAGGTATTAATAGGAATTGTTGATAATAACAAATCTACAGCTACCTAAATAGATATACAGTTTCGTAAGTGGCCTTCGTAGATGTACCTATCAAATAAGGTTCATTGACCCGCAGCCTGTAGCCTGGTAGGTAATCCACTAGATAACGTAAACATCTTGATAGGTATAACAGAGCTCCTATTGATTCCGTTTAATTATAGATAGGTACGTATTATGACGCTATCTATTAAAATTACAACGAACAGTTAATTGTATGGTTACCGAAATGTTGTTTTGCTGATAAAGCTTAAAATCCCTGAATCCCCAACAATCCTCAAATTCCCCAAAAGGCCGGTAACGCACTCGTAACGTCTTTGGTGTTCCAGGGGTCTAAGGGCAGCGCCGATTGCTTACCATCAGGTGATCCGTCTGCCCGTTTACCGGTTTATATCTTAAAAAACTTTTTAGAGGTATTTGCCGCTATGAGCCCCAGTGAGAAGTAAGATCTAGGTATTATCAAATACATTTTTTACTAGATTAGAAACCACTGCATTGGATTTTCCACTTTTCGCAGCTACGGCTACAGGATTGGATAAGTAAATAGCACTTAAAACTACATTAGCGCCATCTATTGATTATAAGAACGGTCGTCTTCATTGGGAATCAATAAATAATGTATTTTGGACAGCGATTGTTAATATTAATTTCACGTCTAAGTTGCTGGATACTAAGAATAAAAAATAAAAAATGTAGGTTTCCACAGAAACTTGGAAATGTTACTAGGTTAAGCAATAATTGTACTTAATTTCTACGTAATAAAACACAAAATAGGAGAGCCATTTCATTAAAAATTTTTAAAGAAAAAAAAAAAAGAGCTTTGCAAGTCAATTCCTTAGCTGACAAGAATTCCACGTAGGCATACTTAACATTATTAAACCTGAGGCACAGCGACCATTATACCAACCCTGCCTAGGTTTGACTAGAATATTAATGCTAATTCTAGACGATCAGTAATTCAGTTCTACATGTCTACTTATTATGTAGATAGAGATAGGACGATTAACGTAATATGTTGTGTTTCAATAAATCATTTTATACGATATTCTACATGTTTATTATAGTATGAACACTTCCAAAATATGTTAATTTTGTTTCAATCTATATATTTACCTAAGTCTTTTTAGACTACTTATTCAATTTAGATAGCTATTATGTTGTCATACTTTTTAGTTTACGTTCTTTGATATCATGTAGTTTGTAGAAGTTAACTTTTTTAAAATAAAAGCGTATATTATACACTATTCTGCGAGCCACAGGTTACATTAACTAATTTTAAGTTAACCCCTGTTTGTGTAGTTTTAAGGACACCTGTTCGATTAATAAACGTTTTCACTATAGTTTTCGCGCATTCGAACCTCACTTCCATCTAACACCCTGACGTAGAGGCTGCAATAAAAGCCCAACGTTACACTATATCCGAGGGAACTAAACTAAATTCTTAACTATTTTTCATCATATCACCTTATATAAAGAGATACCTTCGTCGTTTAAATTATTAAAAAAAAACGAACGTTCCAATTCTATAATCTATTCTCTATGAAGACATTCGTCGTTTAAAACAGTGTTCCATTTCTTGTGGCGATAAATCAAATCGTTTCGTTCAATTTGGCACATGAACTGTGAACGTTGTAGTCGACAATTTGCATTTATTTATACAGCAGAGTATCTGCGAATAAGATTCACGTCATCACCGGTCACCGGAATATCTGGTTTATAATGAGCTAAGAAGTGTTTGGAATGGAGAGATGGTAACAAAACATATAAATGTACATGCATTATGTGAAGTCTCGTCTGTTATCTTACGGCCAAAAATAATAACCGATCTTATAGTACTGATATAGAAGCTAATTTCAAGCACAAAAGCATACTTCAGTTGAGCATTTGTCACTTCAAATCAGCATGCCCATTTCAAGCATGTTTATGAATCAACTGGCGTTCGATATTTGAAAATTTGAGCATGTTCGGTAAATGGCTTTTAGCGCGTTATTGTAGAGCGTGTGTCCTTAATCAAAACCTCCTTAAAAGACACCGTCCACAACTAATTTAAAAAATCGATCTACAGATTTTGAATCACTTAGAATTAGACTAGATTTTTGGCTAAAGACCTTCAGACCTTAAGAGACTGTCTTCTATGTCTCTTCCCAGGCTGAACATACCTAAAAGGACTTTGATCTGACTTCACCAAAGAAAGAAAACACGCGTGTTTATCATTGAATAGTTTAATAGCCTTGTGTTTACTTTGTTTCGAAGTTTCTGCATTGTCAGTTCTATAATGTGAATGTAAACAAGTAATTACATCTGGTCCAGTCATAACAATCATTGTCATTAGATTATCTTAATTACTCTTTGTGTAACATTCTAATGAGTTAGTCATATTTGTAAATATTTACAAACTGCCTCGTGGGTTGGGCCGTCATAGCCCAAGGTATCTTAGGTTGGGTTTCCAGGGCGGGCAAATCATTTTGAATCGTGCCCCCAAATAAGATTATACTACTAAATCGAATATAATGAAATTTTAGTCAGATATTGATAGATTTTTTTTTATAAAAAGATTTTCACACATTCGAATTCACGGATAAAAACTTTTTTGACATTAAAAATTAGTTCCACGATTAATTTTAATTACTTATCTATATTATTATTATGAGGTCTTTTAATAGATTCCTAAGGGATATCAATTGGTAATTAGTTTTAAAAAGTAGGTAAATGTTGATCTACCACGCCCTGTCTACCGTCTAACCTTTGAATTAGGTTATTAGGTATTAATTAACTTACCCAAGTGAGCTATCAATATAGGTTATCCTTACTAATATTATAAATTGGAAAGTGAGTTTGTTTGTTTGTTCCG